AATTTTAATCCAATTTTTTCCCTCTGGGTCCTTGCTCAGTTAGCTTAAGAACACTCAGAACATTACTGTAGTCTGATAAAATCATGTTTATCAACCATTGAACTGTTGCACACCAGCAGAACTGTATGGCATCTTCTTAAAGGAAAAAATAGAGTTATAGAATTCTGGGGCAGGGTAGAGTTAGGTGAAATTTAAGTTTTCATCTTCACTTCCACCTTAGGCAGGTGGATCTGATTAATTTCACAAAGCAACAGCAAGCCAGTCTGTTTTCCAGAATTATTGGTTTAAAAACCAATCCACATTTTTTTTGCATCTTTCTTGACCTTCAGAATGTTTTAAGGGTTTTTTTTTTTCTTCTTCTCTTTTTACTAATAATGGGTTGTATCTGTGCTTAGAATCTCTCCCATAGAGAGATCTGTCCCACAGACAGGAGATATTGCTCAATTTTGTAAAACCAAAACTACAGGGAAGAGAGAATGTTTAGAATATTAATATATATTTTAATCAAATACAAAGTTTAATAACAGGAAGCTAAGACATAGTCATACACTTTCTAGCCTTTTTTTTAAATAAAATTTCTCTCTTTTTTTTTTATTTGAGAGAGAGTGTGAGAGTGTGTAAGCACGGGAAGGGGCAGAGGGAGAGAGAGAGAATCTTAAGCAGACTCCACGCTCATGCAGGGCTCAATCCCTCGACTCTGGGATCATGACCTGAGCCAAAATCAAGAGTTGGATGCTCAACCGACTGAGCCACCCAGGCACCCATATGCTTTCAGGTCTTAATGATGCCTTCTCAGAAAGCCAAGGGACGTTTGACTCAGACTAGTCTTGTCCAGTTCCTGGAGAAGTACACCTGCAAGTTTTGAGGTGGGGTAGAAGTCAGTGAAGAAGGTAGGACACCAAGGCCCCCTAGTATATAGGTGCCCACCCTGAGCTTCCTTCCTTGCTTCCAAATCCTCATGGCTCCCCAGATCAGTGCCCATGCAGGATCCAACAGTTGGGGAAAGAGGAACGGTTTCTGATGGCAGACTGGGGGTGTCAATCCAGAGTTTGGTTGGGCTGGATGTGTGAAGGTGGGTCAAGCAAGGGCTTCCAAATGGTCTACTTTGGGCTATTGGCATTTAAACCCTTGAGATTTTAACTCAGAGCCCTGAGTTTGTGAGTTTTATTTTCCATTTGCTTTAGATCAGTCATTGCTAACCCTGCAAATGATGGAGGATTTTAAGGAGATTTTAAGACATACCACCATCCAAGATGGTGCTTCATTCCCAGAAATTTCCATGTACCTGTTCTGTTTGGGCCTCAAGTTGCCCAAGTGATTCTAATACGCAGCCAGGGTTGAGAATCCCTGCTTTAGAAAGATGTTAAAGCTAAATTTAATCAACCCTCCTATGGTTTTGAGCCCTATATGTTCCTATCTATAAAATTGGAACCTTTCTTATATCTCTTTAAAAATTGTGTACTCTTGAACAACATGGGTTTGAACTGCATGGGACCACTTATATGCAGAATTTTTTTCAAATAAATACAATACAGTACTGTCAGTGTATTTTCTCTTATGATGTTCTTAACATTTTCTTTTCTCCTAGTTTACTGTATTGTTAGAGTGCAGTATATAATATATATAACATACAAAATATGTATTAATTGACAGTTTATGTTATCAGTAAGGTTTTTGGTCAACAGTAGTCTATTAGTAGTTAAGTTTTTGGGGAGTCAGAAGTTATACACAAAATTTTTTTAATGTTTATTTATTTTTGAGAGACAGAGAGACAGAGTGCAAGTGGGGGGGGGGGGGCAGAGAGAGAGGGAGACACAGAATCCAAAGCAGGCTCCAGGCTCTGAGCTGTCAGCACAGAGCCCGATGCGGGGTTTGAACTCACAAACCGTGAGATCATGACCCGTTGTATAGGTGCCCCTATACACAAAATTTTTAAGAATGTTTATTTATTTATTTTAAGAGAGAGTGCACATATGTAAGCAGGGGAGGTGCAGGGAGGGAGAGAGAGAATCCCAAGCAGGCTCTGTGCCATCAGTACGGAGCTGGGTGTGGAACTCAGTCCCACGAACTGTGAAATCATGACTTGAGCTGAAATCAGGAGTCGGATGCTTAACTGCATGAACCATCCAAGTGCCCCAATAGATGAATTTTTGACTGCATAGGAGGTCAGTGTCCCTAACCCCTGTATTGTTCAAGGGTAAACTGTATACACACACACACACGCACACACACACTTCTGTATGTGTGTAGATAGATAGATAGATGTATTTGGAAAGCAACCTGTTTCTGTTCTACTTTCTTTCTAGAAGCTAATTTATAGCTCTTTTTTTCCCCTCTAGAAGTCCCCTGCAGTTTCTTTCTTGTGGCTGATATTTGTAGTTGGTGTTGGCCCTGAAGGCATACGGAATTACTTAGTGGTTTTCTGACTTTCCTTCCTGGTTTATTTAGGCTCTAAGATTGATTTGCTTGATTGTTTTCAAAGAGGCAATGACATCATTTGTTTTTATTTCTATTTTTGAAGGTGAAGCTATTTGCTCCTAATGCTGAGCAGATGTACATTGTTAATCACTTGAAAGGGAGCCCAACAGAAGAGAAGAGAAATGTACCAAAGGAAAGTGCCAGAAGAGCCCATGGGGGCCTACAACATTTGGCAGACCTGAACTCCAGCAAGCTTGAAGCTGCCATTACACCGGTGAGTTAGCTGAAAGCTGTTGAGGCCAACTGTTCATTTTAATTAATGTTCACTGACTTTAAACCCTCTTCCAGCAAAAGCTGCACAGATTCAGCTGCCATTTTGAAGCCTCTGTGCCAGGAGGTAGGTCATGGTTCTCAAACTTTGCTGCACATGAAAGTCACTTGGAAAGCCTTTAAACAGTCTCAGTGCCTGGGTCACATCTCAGACCAGTTACATCAGACTTTCTGGGGGTGGAAACAGATGTCAGTGCTTTTTGATGCTTTACAGGTTCTTCCACTGTGTAGCAAAGATTGAGAACCAGTGCTCTATCAAGAATGACCAGTGGTTCCCAGACTTGGCTGCACCTGGAATCACCTGGTAGGCTTTAAAACCACCAATGCCTGTGTCCTCCCAAAATTTTGGAAGTTTTAAGGTTCCTAGATGATTCTCATATGCAGACAAATTTGGGATCCACTGCACTAGAACGGCATATCTCTAAGTTTAATTGGTAGGTGATTCACCTGGAGATCTTGTTACAGTGCAGATTCTTATTCAGCTCTCAGGTGACAGGTGGCATGTGGCATGCAGCCCACATTTTGAGGCCTCAAGACTCTGGAAATCACAGTGGAGGGTTGCCTGTTTCTAGAACTTTTCAGCACAGTGATCACTTTGTAGATAGGTGACCTGCCTATCTACATGCCTGTACATATGGATGTATACCTACCTTTTAAAATAAATGATTGGTGGCGCCTGGGTGGCGCAGTCGGTTAAGCGTCCAACTTCAGCC